TCCTCCTCCTCCTCCTCCTCCTCCTCCTCCTCCTCCTCCTCCTCCTCTCTATAAATTTCCCTCTCTTCTAGAACTGATGATATTGCCTAGATGTATAATGCAATATCTGCAAAAATAACCACCAAGCTAAGAGAGCATCAAGGACCACATAGTCATTGTCTTCTTCTTCTCCTTTCTTCTCCTCCTCCTTCCTTCTTTCTTCTTGTTGTTTCCTCTTGTTATTTCTTCTTGTTGTTTCTTGTTTCTTCTTCTTCTTCTTCTTCTTCTTCTTCTTCTTCTTCTTCTTCTTCTTCTTCTTCTTCTTCTTCTTCTTCTTCTTCTTCTTCTTCCCCTCCTCCTCCTCCTCTTCCTCCTCCTCCTCCTCCCTCCTCTTACTCCTCCTCTCTGCTAACCCCACTCCCTTCTAACTCTGTTGATGTTACCTAGTTGGGTAGCGAAATGTCTGCCAAAAAAACAAAACAAAAACCTCACCAAGCTCAGAGAACAGCAAGGACCCCATAGTTCAACCCCGAGCAACAAATATTATCTTCTCACGGGTACACTTGGTGTTGGTTAAATGATCCTAAAGGTTGGCTTTGTGGGTCCTCTTTTTGGCCAGTTGGATGGATCTAGTCGCCCTTCGGACTTTCATAGTCCCCTATTTGTATTTACCGAGACTTTCTCTGCTATCAGTGTTGTGGTCCGCTGGCATCCTGCGGAGACGGCAGCAGATTCGGACAGCAGGGAGGAACATGGGCCAGTTCGGGAGTCTGGGGAGGACTCAGACGAGGGTCCTGCGTCCGACGCAGAAATGGGGCCAGGGCCATCTGGGAGTTATGTGCTGACTCCAGAGCCTCCAGAATCTGGCAGCAGCGAGGCAGAGGAATAGCGGGAGCCTCTTCCCAGTGCGCACATGCGCAGAGCTGCCAGAAGGCAAGAACAGTTCAGACAAAAGGGGCGACTCGAGAGTCAGGCTTGGAGGTGATTGGTTCTCCCATAAAACATAAAGGCGGAGCAAAGGGACAGGAGCCTTTGCAGGAAGCAACTTTGTTCATTCTGGTCGTTGGAAACCTGAAGCTCGGTATTGAATTTGTGCTCCGTTTGGCCTTGTATAACTAATTGGACATTTAGTCATTGGCAGCATTTCAAGGGAGATAAAGGTGGGTGCTTATCAGACTTATCCCAAAGGACTGTGGCAGATTTCATTGGGACTCTTTACAAACTCTTTTGAGACTCATTACGGGCTGCGAATGACTAAAATTCACAGCCGTTGAAATAAAGGAAAAAAAGGGGTTTGGGGACTAACCTGTGTTTGTTCGTGTCTCCATAAGCCTTGGTCAGGACAATCCGGGTTTTTGAACGGTGCCATCTTGCCTTGCAGCACGAGGGCGATTTCTCCAACGATTGCCTGGTGGAATTGAACGAGTCCCAATCCAGAAACGATTACCATTTGGTGCGCCAGTACCGCACCCCACACCACCTTGTGCGCTTCTACTTCATCACCCGTGCTTATTCGTCCTATGTGGAGAGCATCTTGAACGACTTCCGGGCGGCTCTGGAGGCGGACCTGGTCCCCGATGTTGTCATCCTGCATTCTTGCCTCTGGGACCTCAACAGGTAAATCGGACCGACCGGTCCAGCCCGACTGCATGGTCCTCGACGTACAACTGAGGCAAACTTATACTGTCTCTAATCGAGGAGGATATCTGTGGCTCGAGGAGGGGGTTGAAAGGAAAGGTCTTTGGGGGTCCCCAAGTTTGGGTTTTTTTCCCCCTTTTGGACATTGGATGACCCAACTAGGCAACGTCATCAAAGCTCAAAGAGAAGGGGTGTTTGCAGAGAGGAGGGGAGGACTGTGGGGTCCTCGGTGCTCTCTGAGCTTGGTTGTTTTCTG